AGTACAACACAGGTCATACTTACTCTGGAATTCTAGGAACTGTACTCTAAAAAAGTAACCTTTCCAATTTGCTCAGAGCTGGTTGACTGTTAAGAAGAGTGGAACATAGGTTTTGACTCAGCATTGTGAGGCATGGGACATTAAAAGAGGTAAGGTCTAGCTTACACCCAGAATATATAAGGGGAAAAATCACTTTATCCAAATCAACTTTGCTTAAGGATTTTGGGTAATGGACAGCTAATAGCCAAACAAAGACACTAGAAACAAGCAAGAGAGAATTAAGGGCCACTTCAAACAACCACAACAAGCAACAGTTTAAGAGAGAATTAGTTGTTCCTGATACAGCAGCTGTATGGTTTAAGACATTACTCCAAAGCATCAGGGTAGGAAACTTCATCGGCGAGGTCTGCCAACACAAGAAGTTGAAGCAACAACAGTATTAAAACCACTTCTCCAGTACAAGCCAGAACACACAGACGAGCTACCATATGGCAACTGCCATGTGGAGACTTAAAAGCAGCAGTTGCTTTTAAGTGATACAGCTGATTTAAACAAAGCTTTACCACAAATACAGAAACAATCCATCCTATGTTTGGCATTCTGAGACCCTACCACCATCATCTCCAAGATGTTCAGTTTTCCCAATCAACCTGCAAGATGTTCTTCATGTTCTTTAACTCTGCTATCCTTATGTTTTCTAGAAAGGAAGGCTAGATTCAAGTTAAAATTCCTCATGTTTTTTGTGGTGAAAAATATCTCAGCCTCCGGCATCTACATTTCAAAACTGAGCAACTTTCAAAGGTCCATGGGCTAAGTTTATCCCCTGGAACCAACTGATGACGGTGCTCCACCAAAGCCAAATTTACTGAAGTAGCAGCAAAAATTCATTAGTGCTTCTTTTACACTCCCCCCAAACTATGTGCAAGGCACACTTACCTTGTTTCTGAGATGAACAGGACTCCCACAACCGTCCTGGAAACTCTACTATCCTTGGAAATAAGGTCTATGCACCCCCATACCTCATATCTTCTAGAAATAACCTATTTAGGAGTGTTCCAAGAGCCTGATGCACCTTGTTTGCATTGTTTACATAGCTAAAAGTGCTCAGGAAAGGCATCTTAACAGTATTATCTGTCTTAAAAGCAAGCTAAGTACATCCTGCACTACATGATTTCATTTAACAAAGGAATCAATTATGGGTATCCCTTGGGCAAAAACTCTAAGACAAAAAAGTACAGCAAGGGCCACGTGCAGCTGTACAATGAAGGCACACACCCTTGGTTTCTCGCCTTAAATAGTAAGAAATAAGGAAAAATTTTGCTTCAGACATTGGAAAGCAGTTGTCACATGGAATAGTAGTACTGAGTTTGGAGGGGTTCAAAAGTTATATTTGAATGCAGAATCTTCTGTTCCAGAACAACATGCTAAAATTTGACTAGATCATTGTACAAGGCACTAGAAAACAACATCTCCCTTCTCTCTCATTTAAGGCCACTTATTATACAGTACAAGAAATATACACCTAGAGCAATTTTTTCAAAAACAGAAATTAAGTGAGCAGCTGTGGAAGCGAAGCTGACAAACAACAGCTATAAATATATTGTGTTATACAAACCTGAGAAACATCTTCTTACACCTGCCATTTTCCTTGGCATGTGACCCTCACTGTGTATTTTTGCAGATAAATTTTCTTATACACACAGGACAGATATGTAAAGGCCTAACAAGTTACATCTACTATTTCATTATCATTGGGAAATGTGGAAATCCACCCTCTAATTCCTTTCTAACCCACAAAATCCAGTGACACATGCTTCAGGCTTTCAGATCCCATCCTTTGACTATCACTGCCGTGTACAAAATTCTTTTTCCTGTTTGCTGTTTTGAAGGCAAGGTAAACATTGGAAGGTAAACTCAGCAAAGGAAACATTGGAAGGACATCCAAGTAATAAGTCATATTGTAGTGAATAATGGGCAAATTGCCCATCTATTTAATCCCAAAGAAAGTGCATTAATTAATCACCATCATTTTATGCAGCTACTTCAGTGCAATGTAGAAGTGGGAGGCCTCAAGAGGTACAGGAACCACACACCCTGATTTCTGGACCTTAGAAGGCCACTATTGTTTCCAAAATGTTTTCTTGCAAAACAGGCAGGGGAGTTACTGAAGAAGCTCTCCTTGTGTCCACTAGTTTCCCCAAATTAAAAGAAAGTCACAAATTTATTCTCAAAAATTTAAAATGTTGTTTTTAATGATGTTATTGGTGCTACTGTTGATATTGGTGCTGTTGTTGTAGGGGTGTGGATATGCTGTGGAAAAAATTAATTTCCTCTTAAGTGTACATTTTTAAACAGGCAGTTATTAGCAAACACAAGTCTCTGAGTGCGTGTTTATACTTGCCTGTTGCACTCATATTCACAAATAAAAGTAAAGAATTGCCCCTATATTGCAAAATGCATTCTCCTATTTCTTTGTACTCACTTTGTTGACTTTAAAAACAGAAAATTAATGCACGCTACCTTGTTGTTAACTTGGTAACACAATATAAGGAATATGCTGGTTTCAAGCAGAAAGAAATTCAAAACCAAGTCAAGAGTGCAACTGAAGTGACAACACGACCCGTGGGATGGCTAAACAGATCACAAACGTTGAAAATAGATCACTTAACACTTTTGAAAACCTCTCCATTTGGGGGTTGTGCTCAGCTTGCCTTGTAATTAGTCTTCCAAGCAGGCACAGTTCCAGGATGTTGTGGGCTAATGGACAGTGAAATATCATTGAATCCTTCCCTTTTGTCTCACAGACGCCTCTCTCCAAATTTCTGCATGCAAGACCTGGCCAATTTGTCACACTGATTTCCATAAAACTAATTCCTATTCTGTGTTCATAGGTTCCCTCACACTTGCCCACTTACAGAATCCCTTTCCTGCAAATGCTGAAGTTACAAAGATTAAGTCTAAAATCTTACATGAAATTACAAGCTGTACAAGTAACTGCTGTTACAAATGACTCTAAAAAGAGTTACATTGTTGTAAAGTTTGCTTGTATATTAACAGTGTTGTGCAATACCTGTTCTAGGCAGGTTGCCAGCTGTCTTTACTGTACCATCTTGGCTGCCATCTGTGTTTTCCAGCTCCTACTGACCTTCTTCCGATTTCTAAACCCCACGTCCCAGCTGCTACCACATAGGCAGGACAGCTAATAATGAAACAGTAATTAAACATTTCTGATGCTGAGAATACATGCAAATGAAGACTGTCTCTGAGGTTTAAGACAGCAAGATGCTTAAACCTTTGATTACTGAGGCCTCATTGCACACTACACTCTCTTCCCAGTGCCAACACTCCTGTTTTTACAGCAAATCATTTTTCATACAGCCTCTGACATTTGGCAACAGAAGGGTGCCACATTTTAAATGCTTACAGCCATTTTATTTACAGTAATAATAAAGAAGTGCAAGGCACAAATGAGCCATTTCCACAAGGTCACTTACTCTGACAAGTACTTTTTGTCATGAGAGGATTCTGAAATCAGCCAAGGGCAAGCAATCCAACCACAGACTCACACCCACAGTAGCTGTATCACAAGTAAAGGGAGCTTTAACCTCAGTTCTGCTATATGAACATCAGTAAGGCTGTGCTACTATTCTCACTCTCATTTGACTACATGAGTAATTGGGTGAGAAGTATCACACTGAAAGAATTCCGACCGTACTTCCATTGGTGTTCACTGTTGGCAGAAACTAGTTTGCTAAATCCATCTTGGCATGGTGAAAGCAACTTGAGAGCACCCAACGGCTTTGACACAGCTGGATCTCACATGTGCTCTTTCAGTTTCTGAAGTTTACCTTATAATTGTGAAATGAGTGAGGGTTTTATTTTTTTTTACTATTCTCCATCATTCCACAACCTGTCTGGCTGTCCATACCTCCTGTGTCTATGGGACCCCGTAAAATTAAGGCCCAATCCAAGAACTGTTGGACCTTATTTTATAATTTCAGTAAAATGTATAGGAATACATTATCCCACAATAGAAAATTAGAATTTATAATCCCTATTCCACATTGAGATACTTCAGCTACAGCATATTTTACATTACAAGTATCACTGTATAAGAGTTTTATAAAACAAAATAATTAACAATAATAAAAGATCTGATTGAAATAAAAATCCAATTTAAATTTGAAAAATCTGATTTTAAATTTTCCAAACAGTCCACTGGAGCAGCTAATCAGCACATGAAAAAACACAAACAATCTTAAAAGGATTGCTTGTTCAGATCTTTATTTCTTGACAATTTTTTAAAAATAACTGTTCTGTCCTCAAGCTACTTCATACTTGATAGAAGTACCTTGATATCATCTCTCAATAGTTGATTTAAAAGACTGTTAGAATTTTAAAAATAAATAAAATATATACACATTTGGCTGAAACCATCCATAAAATGGCTGCCACAAGAAATATGAAAGTTTAAAAATAAAATGGGAAAACACATACAAACATTTGGCTCAAACCAACTACAAAATGGCTGTTGTGGGGTATGGCTAGTATCAAAGGACAACGAGATGACTGACCAAACATTAATGGAATCTAAGTCCCAACACATGAACCAACTCATTTGAACCCGCAGGTTGGTTGGTTGATTTTTTGCACCGATAGAAGATTTTTCAAAGAATGCAAATACTAATTTTAAAAACCATTCAAAACTTTTGATAACACAATGACATCAAAGAGAGTCCTTGAACTTGCCAAGACATTTAAGAAATGTTGGGGCTCTCCACTGTTCCATCCTTTCACTGGAGCAAAATATGTACTTTCCAGCAGCAAGCTGGTGAGTGTACTTGTAGGTTTTGCCACCATTAATACCCAGGTTGATTTCACTTTATTTGAAAGCAACACTTCACTGACTACAACCAAGAGCTGGAAGAAAAGCAGATACTAATACCTTTGGCTTTTTCAGTTTACAAAATGGTCATCAGAAAATCAAAAACTTTGCTTACTTGTAAAGATAGTATTCAGCTTGATCCACTTGCTCACGTGAAGCAATATTATCTACAAACTGAGAAAAAGGTTTAGAAATGGACAGTTTGAAGTGCACAGTATATCCTTATGTACAATTATCCTTGCTTTAATACATTTTTGACAAGATGAATAGCAATCCATATATGTTAAAAGGATTTGTTTCATAACTGGATGTTTTAGAAGTACAAGTCAATTAAGTTACCAATATATAGATCTATGTGTCCAGATATGTGTGTGTGTGTGTGTGAATGACTGAACAAGTGAGCAGATTGTGACTGAATATATCTATATCTGACATGTATCTTCAAAGACTTACAAGGTAAACCAATAATCAAAAGTCCTTGAATTATATGCTGAATACAAACATGTTAAGTCCTAATGGATGATAACCTGAACTCTTCATGTGAGTTTTTCATTTTTACGTGCACATAAAATTAGTGAGAAAGTATATCTGGGTAGCTAGTAAATATTAGGGCCCAATACTAAGTGAGTGAAATTGACACTAGTTATTGAACAAGTGGAACTTTCAACAGAAACTCTAACCAAAATCCAAGTGAATACTTACTCCTGCCCTGATAGGTAAATAGCCGAGACTGAAGGATGCCTACTACTAGTAAATATTAGGGCCCAATACTGAGTGAGTGAAATTGACACTAGTTATTGAACAAGTGGAACTTTCAACAGAAACTCTAACCAAAATCCAAGTGAGTATTTACTCCTGCCCTGATAGGTAAATAGCCACTAATTAATGAATCCCTGACTGAATTCTTAGTAGTGCACCAGCTGCATGACCTGCGATGAAATTAGGAATACAACTGGAGACACATTAATCCTGTTGAAATTCAACCTGCTCAGTCTTAATTCCATTGTGGGTAGAAAGAGTCACCTGCTGATACTTCACATGTGTGTGTCTGGCATAATTTCAGCTACATAAAGAAGATGACTCAAACTATTTAATAGAAGTCAGAAGGACTCAAAAGCCAGTGCTTGCTTTTCAAAGCTTTTATAGCAGAAGAGATAGGTCTGGCTGTCCTTTATAGCTCTACAAGCAAGAGCAAAAATAAAATGTAATATGGGTATAGAGCCAAAATGAGTTTGATTGCATAGTTCATAAAACATAGGAGTTAGCTTTTTTGTACAAAAAATAGTTTGACATGTATTTTTTTTAAAATACAAAATGCATAAACTTCTAAGAGGCCATGAGAATATTAACCTACACTGGCTATTGTCTTTTTCAGGGCCTTGAGCATTCCACATCATTAGGCAAGAGTTAAAATCTGGGAAGCCAGATACCGGAAAAAAATGCTAAATAATGACCTCCTTCCTTTCACAGAATCATCCAGAACGAAAAGAGGAGAATTGAGACCACAGTCACTGGATTTCATAAGACTTGACCTGAAGGTTCATAGATACTGCTGGTGTGTAAATCAAATCAGCACAAAGTTAACAGGTGGGCCTCCCTTTCACAGTATCTATCAGGGCAGGGGAGCAGCCACCTGCTCTCTAGTCCCTGGGCGTTAACGGAAGAACAATCACTCATCCTCTCAGCTTCACTGCTTAAGGGCATACATTATGCACGGCAGCAATATAGTGAGTTATGTGTAATTATCACTGAACAGGAAGAAGTCAAATAGGGAGCAGCTGCTGTTCCTTGGACATGTTGAATCACAGGACATGCCATGAAAATGGAAAAACTACAGGATGTTTTTTTAACAAAACAGTTTTTTGATACAATACTCAACTGACTTATAGAATATGGTAACAACAAATTTCAGCTATTGCCAATAATATAAACGAGGCTTGTGAATAGAGACACACATTCAACAATGGGAAAAAAAATAACAAGAGGTATCAATATGATTATACTCCTTTGAAGAAGAGATAGCTCAGTGATACGCGTACAGTACATCCATGGTATGCTGAATGTTTCAGGTACAATCCCTGGCTGTTCTCATTAGAGCAATGTGGTAGCAACTATAGGATTCTGCTTAACATCCACAAGAGCTGCTCCCAAACGGCACTAGATGGACAGTTTAACTCAGCAAAAGCAGCTTCCTTCTAGCACTGCAGGACACCTATGGCCAGAGGGGGAAATCAGTGGTCTTCTACATTTTGTTGGACTGCAGCTCCCATCAGCCCTAGAAAGCAGAGCCAACAGTGAAGAACAAGAGGAAATGGCAGTCCAATGGCATTGGGGAGCCCTAAGTTGCCACCCCTAGACAATCCCATAATTTTAACACACTAGAAGCTAGAACTGAAAGACAGGCAATAAAATAGTTCATCAGACTATAGTGCTGTGAAGCTATTTTTTAAAAATAGTGCCCAGTATACTTTTGGCCTTTACACAAATAATTTTTCAGCAATAATTTTGCATTCATAAATGTCCTCCTACCTGCATCTGGATACTGCAAGAACGTCTCACCCTAGAAAGCTCTGATGTTTTCCCCAAGCAATATCCTTTGTGGGGTGGGGAAACCAATTTAGCAGATTGCCTTGACGCACAATTGACAGACATATGGCCTCTATACGCCATCCATAATTTACTGACACTTTGGAAGCTAGAATCTTATCTACAAGCCCAAGAGAATTAGAAAGCAGAGCTTGTTCTACAACACATTAATGCTACATCTACAGCACGTTGGCTCAATAGCAGTATGTATATTTAAAAATATATATGAGAAAATGCAGAATAGAAATAATTTCAGTTGTTTTTGCACAGGGCTTATATCAAATTACTGTATCAACAAAGAACTACCTTAATATCTCTACTAAGAAATAGCATGTGTTGCTGAATCTGGGGTGGGGGAGAAGAATCAGTTATAAATCTCCTAGGGGAAAAATGTTACATCTATAAATGGCTAACTTTTAATACAAATTGATGTTTATATTCTTACCCGAGATATAGTAAGAGAGCTGACAGGAAGCTTTCTGTCATAAGTTGTGTCCATCAAATTGGCTAAATCAGCTGTAGAAATAAAACACAATTTTTAAATTTTTATTAATTAATGGTTATGGGTGGGGAACTAAGGAGTGCAAAGCAAAGATACTGTATTCTGCAACCATGCCTAACAGACAGAAAAAGCATTTAGTTCAAGGCTTTTCATTTTTGTTTCTAATGGAAACGTAACACTATCCTCGAACCAGTGTCTTCAAAATTAAGCAGTGCCTCTTAAGGAGAAGTCAAGCAAAAACAGTAGTTACCCTATCTTCCTATTGTCTGTTCTGCATTACATCATGAAAGCCAAATTATAGAGATGTATCAACTACTGCTAGGGATTTTAATTGGCTACAAAGTCAGATATATCATGTTGCTAAATCAGCATAACAATAGCCAAATTGCATAATCCACTGCAATTTGATGTACTGTATTACTGTTATTATTACTCTGGAACTTCATAGCCTTGAGACAGCAAGATGTAATAGACTTTGGAAACATATCCATCTTTTTAACATGAAATTATGCTATGTGCTACTCTAATCAAGGATGCACCAAGAATTCACTCTGTCCAAGCTTCACTCACCAGGATTTTTTTTAACAAACCACAATTGTAAGCTATTTTCTGACTCCATAAGAATTTCAGTGGCCTTAGGATTATCAATAGGGTCAGGATTTGAGTTATATATATAAATCTTGCATTTCCTGAACTTACTGAGAATTCCAGTGTCACCACTGAACAGGGCCAACCTACTGATCCTCACAGTATTAATTTATTTAGAATATTTATATCCTACCCTACATCATGAGATCTCCGACTACAGAACAAATAATACAATTTAAGACATATACATTTTAAATGAAACAATTTAAAATCTATAATGCAACTTTATGTATAGTGTACCAAATGGCTTTTGTAGAGGTTATTCAGTTTAATCTTTCTGGATGTATTCCATCCACTGCACAGTCTAGTAGGAAGCCATCAGAAAATCTTGCTGCTTTCAAATTGGTTTCGTGACTCCAAAGATACAAACCAGTCAAGAGCAATGAAGGCAAATAAGAAATAGCAGACCTAATCAGCCCTACAGTATTTCCCAACTCTATCTGAAGTTCTTTCTAGAGTTCCCTCCCCTTAAGACAGTACGATGTGGTAAATTCTTAGAAACCCTATTTAAACTTCCAGGATTCCTTTCAAACACTTTAGTGATTGTAGCGGGACACTTTGAAGCCTCTGTCAACTCAGGCCTCCTAGAGTGCTCACTACTCTTCTTCAAACTGCTGCCACCAACCTATCCTTAATACTCAAAAAGGACAAGTGTTTCTTTCAAAACAAAAACTGTGTTTATTGATTTGACAAAATAAAAGGAGTGAATCACAGGTAGTAATATTTATTTATTTATTTATTTCATTTCTATCCCGCCTATCTGGTCAGATTTGACCACTCTAGGCGGCTTACAATCAGCAACAATAAATATTAAAACATTACAAATAAACGAAGATAAAGATCATAAGAGTATAGAAGGAAAGAATCGTCAGGAATTAACTGTTGGAATTAACTGTTGGGAAGGCCTGCTTATACATGAGTGTTTTTAATTGTTTCTTAAAAGTGCCCAGCGAGGGGGCCATGCGAATCTCAGGAGGTAAGTTGTTCCATAGGCGAGGAGCCAC